TGCCCACTCAGCCAGCCTGTCGAAGTCACCCTGCAGCCTCTTAGTACCCTCCTCACAGCGCATACTGTCACCCAGCTTAGTGTCAAGTGCAAATTTGTAGATATTGCATTCAATTCCTTCATCCAAATCGTTTATGTATATTGTGAACAGTTGGGATCCCACCATTGAACCCTTTGATACCCTAATCACTACTGCCTCCCATTCTGGAAAAGACCATTTTTTCCAACTCTCCGTGTCCTGTCTGCCAACCAGTTCTCTACATATCAATATATTACCTATGATACCATATGCTTTAATTTTGCTTACTAGTCTATTTTGTGGGACCTTGTGAAAAGCCTTTTGAAAGTCTAAATACACAATATCCACTGATTCACCTTTGTCCATGCTACTGGTCACGTTCTCAAAAAAATTCCAGAAGATTTGTCAAGCATGATTTTCCTTCAGTGAATCCATGCTGACTTGAACTGGTCCTGTCATGGCTTTCTAAATGCTCAGTTATAACATCCTTAATAACTGACTCCAGCATTTTCCCCAACCCCGATGTCAGGCTAACCAGCCTATAATTTCCTGTATCTCTCTCACTCCTTTTTTAAAAGGTGGTGTTACATTACCTACTCTCCAGTCCATTAGAACTCTTCCAGAGTCTGTAGAATACTGGAAAATGATTACCAATGCCAATATTTCTAGGGCCACTTCCTCAAGTACAGAGCATCAAACCCTGGGCACTTTTCGGGTTTTAATCCCATCAATTCCCTCAATACTATTTCCTGGCTAATAAGGATTTCCTTCAATTCCTCCTTCATTCTTGACCCTCTGTCCCCTAGCATGTCCATAAGGATACTTGTGTCCTCCTTAGTGAAGAAGATCCAAAGTATTTGTTCAACTTGTCTGCCATCTCTTTGTTGTCCATTACGAATTCACCTGATTCTAACTATAAGGGATCTACATTTGTCTTCACCAGTCTTTTTCTCTTCCCATAACTGCAGAAGCTTTTGCAGTCAGTTTTTATGTTTTCCACAAGCTTACTCTCATCTTCTACTTTCCCCTTCCAAATTAAACCCTTTGTCCTCCTCTGCTGAATTTTTAATTTCTCAGGTTTGTTGCTTTATTTGGCCAATTTATAGGCCTCCTCTTTGGCTTTAATACTATTCCTTATTTCCCTTGTTAAATATGGTTGAGCCACATTCCCTGTTTTGCTCTAACATCTGACAGAGATGCACACAAATCTAAAAATATCGTTTGGAATCAACACAGCCTGAGATTGTCACAGTTATTAGTTGGTACAGAGACTTATAGCACAAAGGCTATTTTTCTGGCTTGTTGGCCTAGTGGTATAATGCTCAGTTCAGGAGGAGGGAAGGAAAGCATGAAGTCCCCACATTAAACTCCCAGATAAGTTCTCAAACAGGTTCTTGTGGCACAATGGTAGTATCCTTACCTCTGGGCCACCAGGTAGCCTAGTTCAAGTCCCACCTACTTTGGAGGTGTGTAATAATATCTGAGAATAGGTTTTTTGTAAAAAAATGCCTTTTTCCTTCTTCCTTCCATCCCAGTTTTCTCCCTATTTCTTATGAAGGCACTGATTCTTGATGGCACCCAGTTTAATATGTACAAGTAACTGTGTGAACCAAGACAGTGAGAGTTGACAAGCTTCGCAACTGTATACATCACACTCCATCTGGCTTGTCTTAACAGGTTCTACATGTGTCAATGGTATCATGCATGCCTCTGAGTCAGAAGGTTGTGAGTCCATGTCCCACTAAGTACATAATCTAGGCTGAGATATTACTGTAATATTGAGGAAGTTCTGCAATGCCAAAGATGCTGACTCAGATGGATATATTGACCACATTGCACTATTAAAGTGTGGAGGTTTCTCAGAACATCCTGACCAAGATTTATCAGCCAACCAATGCCTAAAATAGATTACTCAGTCATTTATTACGTTGAAGTTTGCCAGAGTTTGCTGTGCGCAAATTGCCTGTTGCATTTCTGTCATTAGAACTGAGACTGCATTTCAAAGGTAATTCATTGGCTCATGTGTTGGGAATATCCTGAAGCTGTAAAATGCACCGTATAAATGCACGTTTTTCTTTCTTCATTACCTACATTTGTAGGATCTCTCTCCACCTCTTCACAACAGGATCAATATCCCACTGTTTTATGCTATCTGTAGCTCCTTTTCTCTTCTTAATTCCCATTTCCACCCTTGCTGAGGTCAGGGATCTCAACACAGTTTGAGAATTTAAACTCCCCGTGTGGCCAAGTGAGTAAAAACACTATCACTGACAAATGTCATCAGCCTGATTCCCAATTCATGAAAACTGCTGCAAAATTTAGGCATAAAGGTGATGGGTCAGAATGGGAATGTGGATTAAGCTGCTACCTGTGTCCTTATTTACACAGATAAAAGAACTTACTAAGACCACACTCCAACAAGAATGCATGACTTCAAAAGAAAAAAGAGAACACTGAAACAAAATCATGGTCTTTTTACACAAAAATGGCAATTTAGAGAGAACCTTTTTACTAATTTAGAAAGTCAAGAGAAAAGAAATAAAGACTTCTATCTGTCTAGCAAAATTCATGACCACCAGGCAGCTCCAACCTAGTGATTTCCAGCTAATGAAATATTTTTGGCATTGTTACTCTTGTGACGTAGGAAAAATTAGTTCGAATAAAGGAGTACTTATTATCCTTTTATTATAAACATAGGGGCATCAGATAGGAAAATGAAAGACATTTTCCACCTTTGTTCCCCAGTTTCACTATCGAGCTCTCTTATATCAGGCATAACATGAATCCTGGATTACACAGTGCTCTTATAGATGACTCTACCAGCACATTCTCTCAAAAAAAATAGTTATTGAAATTATTTTAGACGATGGGATGTATAAGAATTTATTCCTCCCTTGCTGTTGCTGCTTGAGGGGTAAAAAAACAGACCAGAACAGTGGGATTAGAAACTACACAAAGAATTAGCAGAATTCGCACTTTATTGCATGGGAATAACATCATGAATTGGATCACATGCCCTTTGTTCAAACCTCCTCACCCTTTTTTCTGCTGATGTCAATAGAAACCCCTCAGGGGAGTACCATCCACCACTTAGACATTCTTATGTAGAAAACCCTGCCTGCCACAAACACTATTTTAAGAGTTATAATATTTGGAAGTTCATGTAGAAAGTTTATCATGACATCTAGGAGGAGCACTTCAGATGTGGTAAATCTTCCATTCATTAGCTCATATGAAAGGTTAAACTAAAGTTTCTATTCTGCCAACTGGCGCTCAACTATTATTTTATTTACATTGACAGCAGTAATTTCCTTGGAGCAGCTCCTGATTTTTTTTTACAGTAGCTTCACCGAAAGTCTGGTGGAAACCACTTTGGAATGTGTATATTGGATTTCCAATGCACTTCTGCCAAATGTATGGCAGTGAAGTAGGAACAGAGATAACCAGTCTGCTGCATGGACTGATTTAAACATCAAGGGCTGCATCTTACGATTTTTTGTGGATAAGTGTAAGTTGTGCCAAGTTGTCTTGAAGGAATTATCATTGCAAAGTCTAGCAGGATTTTTCACTGTATCTTGCCAAACCTATAGTGTCCATCATGTCTGAGCCTATCCCTATCTTACCACCTGCAACTCCCAGAACAACTTGCTACTCACTGAATATCCACCAATAGACCAGCGACTCTCACCTGCACCTTCTTTAAAAGGCCATTCTTCACATGGACTAACCAGAAAAAGAACCACACTCAGCTCTCTCAGAAGTCTCCACTCAGGACACTCCACACATGGTATACCTTGGAAGTTATGCTGAGGCAGATCCACTTGCATCAAGCAAGAAGACCCTTGGCATGGTTGGCTCATCCAGGCACAAATGTTCCCAGGGTTGTCCAATCAAACTTCCAGTCCAATGGGCTCCACTGCCTAGCAGTTTCCCTTCATTGCTGCTGCAGAACCAGGGACTACACTAAGACATTGTGGGAGGGACAGGCAGGAGAAATTGAGTAGGTGCCTGGTCTCCAGCAGTCCTATGACACCCTTATTCTTTCCTTGGCTTGTGTGTCTAATAGTGTTGCAATGAATGAGTCTGTCAACACTGTCTGGGGCAGGAAGGTGCACAGCAAAAAGGGAGCAAATGGTCAGGGAATAGGGACCCTTAGATCAGTGTCCTATACTCTGAATGGGTCTGTGCATAACTTGCTTTAAAAGGACCTCATGTCAGTGGGTCCTGCAACCTCACCCCTCGCAGGGCAAATGTCTGACCCTTCCCACTTTGAGTGTGGTTGCAGTCACTTTCTTCTCCATTGTGTGCAGAACAGTGAATGGTGACAGTGAACACATTTCAGCCAGTGGCTTCTAGAATTCAACTCCAATTGTTGGGGTAACCTTGAGCATCCAGATCCCCTTCCTGGTAACGCCTCCTGTGAATCCCATACATTTCATACCTCCTCCCAGATAGCCAACCAAACCGATTCTAATGAGCTTGCCCCTGCCCACCTATCCTTCCAACTCCTGACATAGGAGGTTACCATGCCAAATGTGTTCCCTGCTCGCCCCATTGATGTCAGGGTGTTCCTCAGTGTGGACAAACCCCTTTCCCGCATGACCTCCTTCCCATCCATGCTTTACTGTATCCCACCCCCCCTTACAGATACTGTTGCCCCCTTCTCCCTAGCCCACAGCCCCCAGTCCCGAAGAGCAACTTGCCAAGTCTGCTTCTTGCAAATCTCTGCCCATCATTTCCCAGAATTGTTTGATCCCTTCAATTAGGTTTCTGTCCCTGCCACGGTACTGAAACACCTCTCATCAAAGTCACAAATAACATCCAACGTGACTGTTACAAAAAAGTCTAAAAAATTAAAAACAAGTAGAGTTGTGGTCAACTTTAGTAGACACGTGCTTTGTAGACTTAATCAATTTGAACTTGTTAGCTTTGTATTTTGAAAAATTACTAGAACACCCCTTAAGCATATTAAAAATTCATACCTCAGGGAATTTTTTCTTCTGTATATAATCAGTAAGTGCAGGATCGAAGTATTTGGCGTAACCTTCATTCAGACTGTATATTTTTCCCTTCTTCTTTATTTTCACATTCCTTTCCACAAGAATAAATTCACCTACAGCCTAAATAAAAAAAGAGAATGATAACAGTAGTCAAGCAATACAAATTTTAGTTCGTTAGAATTAAAGCCAAGGAACTTGTGGTAATTAAGGTTTATGTTGTTCTTTTGGGTTTAACAGATTGTAATTAATCTGAATGGAATTTACAATAAGTTTGTTCAACTATTTACAGGTTTATTAATTAACACGTGACAACTAAGAGAATTTTAATTAGTTTTATGCATTTTAATAAGTATTCATTTTACGATTCCATTTGACAAGATATACAACAGAAATAAAACATATGTGTGCTGCCAGAATGCCTCTGAGAATGTTCACTTATACTTGAAAAAGAAAACCACAAATTAACAGGGAGCTAATTGTTTATTAATATTTTGTCCTTTTTATCGCATTTGTTTTCCCCTTCTTTTCCTGAGGGTGTTGACTTGTTATTGTGATGCTATTGTGATGTACCTAGTTGGCATCCTCCAGTATCTTGTTGAATGATCATTGTTTGTTTTGAGGGTTCACAATGAGTTTTGGCTGACGATTTGCCCAAGATGATGGTGCACACAGGAGTCATGGGGAGGAATGAGGCATGAAAAGAATTTTAGCCTCCTAAAAAAACTGGATAAATAATTGAAGTCTTGGAAATCTGAATTCTGACACCAACCCAACCAAGTCTCCCAACGGAGACTTGTTGGGGTTTCGTATATGGATGGGCAGTTAACCTGTTCCCAGGAAACAAACTGGCAATTTAAATATCACAATGAGGCTGCATGCTTCATATTTATACATGGTTTTAAATTTTACTCTGAACTGAGTTTCACAACTGATTGATACAAACAGATGAACAAGGAGCAGGCACTTTTGTCCTTTCAGCTCTTCAAGAATACTCTGCCATTTAATAGGATCCTGGCTGATCTGATTGTAACTTCAAATCTATATTCCCACCTACCTATGATAATCTTTAACCTCCTTGCTTAACAAGAATTGATACATCTCTGTATTAAAAATATTCAAGGGTTCTGCTTCCACCACCTTTTGAGGGAAAGAGTTCCAAAAGCTCACAATCCTCTCAGAAAACAAAAAAGCCTCATCTCTATTTTAAGTGGGTGACTTCTGATTTTTAAACAGTAATGCCTATTACCTTATTCTCCTGTAAGTGGAAACATCCTCTCTCCATCCAATTGTCAAGACCTCTCAAGGTATTATCTGTTACAACTTAATATGATTCAATTTCAAGTTGGTTCTTTCTCTTCCAAGCTTCAGTAGATCTAAACCTAGCTTGTTGAACTTTTCCTCATAAGATAGGCCATCTATTCCAGATATCAGTCTGGTAAAAGTTCTCATAACATGCGTCAAGTGCATTTATATCCTTTGTTAAAAGAAGTGACCAAGGTTGTACATAGTACCGCACATGTGGTCTCAGCAATGCCTTGGAGAAGTGAAGCACAATCTTCCTACTTTTGCATTCAATTTACAATAAATTATAACATTCTATTAGCTTCCTAGTTACTTGCTGCATCTGCATACTGACATTTTATGATTCATGCATTACACAAGTAGTGTGACATTGCTGTCAAATGAGCATTCATAAAACTCGACAGCGTTTAAGGAAATTCCAATTTCAGGCACCCCTCCCCTACCACTCCAAGAGGGTCAAAAATTTTAAACCTTCTTGTAGCCTGTTTTAATAAGAGCAAATGAGCAAAGGAATTAGGAGCAGGGGTGGATCATTTGGTCCCTCAAGCATGAACTATCATTCAATAAGATCATTGTTGATCTGCTTGAATTTTGAATTCCACATTTCTATCTAATTCCAATAACTTTTGATTCCCTGGCCCAAAAGAATCTATTTACTTCTGCCTTAACATGAAATTGTGTTATGTTGCCACAGTCTTACCAGATTATAGGGCTGCTCTTTCATTAGAGAGAAGTGACTGGTGGTGACTTAACCTTAAGGCCAACATATCTAAGGTGAAGTTGAGATAGAGAGTCTTTCATGGCAACCTCAGCCAGTGATGGAATTGAACCCATGCTGTTGGCATCACACTGCTTTGCAAACTAACCATTTAGCCAACTAACTATGAATGTACTGATTAGGACATTCAGAAATTGGCCATTGGAAATGAAATGGAAGCATGCTGCAAATAGTTTGAGAATAATGGGAAACAAATGTTGAGCGAGGGTTTTGGCCCATCCTAATAAATGTAACACAAAGAAGGAAACATAATGCTTAAAGACTGATGCGGTCCCAGCTCCAGTCAATTGTTTGGGGAGGAGATAGTTTACATCACCACCTCTACCCAGAGAGAAGATAGAAATTAGCTTCAGGTTTCATAGTACTTTCCTGTGTATCTCCTGGTGACTCATAATAGTGATGCATGTCGCGTATGGTAGGAGAAACAGCAAGGGAAGCAAATGGAAGTACAGAGAAAGTGGAAAAATGCATCCTAGTTTAATCAAGAAAGTTTTATTTTGTTTGTTGCATTCCAATTAAAGATTGTGGGATGATGTGAGGTCCAATTCAATATTCATGTTTCCAGCACCTTAAAAACATTATTTTCTTTTACTGAATTCACTGTTAATGTTCAGTTGGGACCTGAACTGAAGTCCTACTCTCACAAGTAACTCGCATTCTTATATTCTCTCCATTCACAAAATAGTGACAAGGTAACTATGGTGCAATATGTTATTCTGGTTCTTTCAACTGTTACAAGTACTTGCAGGTATGCATCCGATCAGAAATGGTGATAATTTTTTTGAGTAACGCGAGCTACATACTGGATCCAACATGAAGAAGTTGACACCTTGTCCTGTGGAGAGTGCTACGAGAGTAGCACTGCCATACAGTGCATATCCAGCGGCTACCATAGTTCGTCCAGGTTGAAGAGCAAGATTTTCGGTAGGCTGCTCTCCAGAATCCTAGCAAAGGCAAAACAAATGGTCAGTTACAGTGGAATCTATTCACTCTTTGTGTAACAATTTTCCACAAACCCAGTAAAACTTAATGATTGAGCAATCATGACTAACAATTCTTACACAAGGATTATATGCCTTTTGGTGATACATGTTAAGTGTATCTTTAAGTGATGTCATAACAAAGTTGCCAGCTACTGCATTTAGAAAGAGATTAAGAATTCCAGTTTAAGCATCTAACTTTAACTATATTCTAGTCAGCAACAGCATATTCATACATGCATGTGATTTTCATCCCAGATTCTTGTAATATTTAGTGAAGGCAAGCCTGTCCAATCTTTCCTCCTGCCTGAGACACATTCACAAGCTTCCTCAGATAAGGAGACCAAATCTGTACGCAGAATTGGAGATGGGGTCTCACAAATGGCCTGTACAACTGAGGCATAACTGCCTTATTTTTATGTTCAATTTATGTTGTAAGAAAGGATGCCATTCCATAAGCCTTCTTATAACCACTTATTGTACTTGTATTGTAACTAACAAGCTAGAACTCCTGGATCAGTTGCACCTCTGAATTCTGCAGTCTCTCCTCACATAAGTAATACGCTGCTTTATTACACTTGCCGTCAAAATGAACAATTCCAAATTTTTCCACATTGCACTCCATCTTCTAGATTTTTGCTCACTAAATGAAAGTATCAATCTGCATCCCTGTTATGCCATATTTCCACCTTTCTTTCTTCAAGTAACAATTTTTCATAAACATAGTAAAACTTAATGATTGAGTAATCATGACTAACAATGTAGTCAGATGTAAATGTAGTCACTATACCTTTCATCCTCTCGTTAGTATAAGTTGTAAATATTTGAGGGTCCAGCACAGACCTCTGTAGGACCACATTTGTCACATCCTGTCAATCTGAATAGACCCACTTAGGTATACTCTCCAGCTCTTTACTTTGCGCAGTATTTTTTCATGCAGCACCTTGGCATATTTCTTTTGGAAGTTTAAGTGTAGTGTATCAATGGGTTCCCTTTATCCACAGTGTATATTGCTCCTTCAAAGAATTCTGTATAAATTTCCCTTTTGAAAAGCTTTGCTGACTCTTTCCCATTACTTTGTGTTTTTCCAAGCATCCAGTTATAACTTAACTAATGATCAATTCTAACACCTTCTCTACGATGTCAAGCTAACAAGCATTTAGTTTCAGTTTTCTGTCTCCTTCTCTTCTTGCATATTGTGTTTATGTTTGTCAACCTTTCAAGAATTTAGAGAATTTCAGAAAATTAATGTCAATGTATGTGCTACCTCATTAGCCATTTCTTTTAAAACCCTTGGATGAAGTCATTTAGGACCCAGAGACTTATCATCCCTCAGGTCCATCAGTTTGCTCAATATCACTTCTGAAATTAATTTCACTAAATTCCTCTCTTCCTTACTTTACAGATATCATTTACAGATATTAGTGGGATCTGTTTTGTATCCTTTAAAGTGAAGATAGAGCAAAATATTTATCATTATATCCATCATTACTTCATTATTTATACCAACTCCCCATTCTCACCCTTTAAAGGACTAATTCTCACATTATTATTCCTTCTTTTTAGCTGCCTATAGATGCTCTTGCTATGTGATGTTACATTTCTAGCTAAATTCCTCTCATGCTCTAATTTATTTGTCCTGATTGACCTTTTAGTCATTTTGTGACATTCTTTATATTCTTCATATTCTGACCAGTCATCTGACCTACCATTCACCTTTATGCAATTATATGCATTTCCCTTAAGTTTGATGCTTTCCTTAACTTCTTTAGTTAACCATGAACAGTGGATCCTCCTTTTCAATTTTTTCCTTATTGTATAGGAAGAACATGTCTATTTTGAGCATTCTGAAATATCCCTTTAAATGTCTGCCAATACTTCTCTATGAATCTATCTCATAGACTAATATCCCCGTTCACTTCAGTTAGCTCAGCTGAACCATGTAGTTGCCTTTTTGTAATTTTAAAGTACTGGTCTTGTCCCTTTCAAACTCGACATAAAACTGAATCATATTGTGGTTGCTGCTACCTTGAGGTGTCTATACTCTAAGGTTATTAATTAATTTCATCATATTACATAATGTCAAATCTAACATAACCTGTCAATACAATCTGGTTGTTGTTTTAAGAAACAATTGTGAAAACACTCCTTGAGCTCTTCATCATTGTGATTATTGCAATGTGATTTTTCAAGGTTATTTGTAGATTAAAATCACCCGTGATTACTGTTGACCCTTTATTGCAAGATCCCAACATTTCTTCTTGTATATTTCTTCCTACACCTTATCCACTATAGTGAGCTAACTTTAAGGAATTAAGAAGCTAAGATAGCAGAGATAACAAGGTGTAGAGCTGGACGAACACAGCAGGCCAAGCAGCATCATAGGAGCAGGAAGGCTGACGTTTCGGGCGTAGACCCTTCATCAGAAAGTATCTCTAATACTATTGTTTAGCAGAGTTTGGCTTCACATAGTGGAATACTTTTGGCTGTGTAAAAAGTTAATATTTCCTGTCATTTTTACTTTTTGTAACAACACCAACTTATACTTCTAAAGTGTCTTCTAAAGAATATCCCTGGGTATTTCATTAGAGGATTAAAGAAAGTAGGAACCAAGGCCTTTTATGAAGCCTGATGTCCAGAAACTCAGTCAAAGGGGTTTTAGGAAGTGTTGTAAGAGAGGAAAATGAGTTAGGGAAGTGGAGGGCAATGGGGAGGGTGTTTTGGAGTTAGTTGCCCAGCCCACTCAAGACATGGTAACCAATGCTAGAGCAATTCAAATTGGGAATGCACAGGAGAATAAGGTCATAGAGGGATTTGAACACGAAGATAAGAATTTCAAAACCAAGTTGCTATGTGATTAGGAGCCATTGGAAGTCAGTAAGCACACGGGAATAGTGGAGTGGAACTTTCAACAAGTGAAGACATGAACTGCAGACTGCTGATTGATTTCAAGTTTACAGAGGATAGAATGTGGGAGATCAGCTAAGAGTGCATTGGAATGGTCAAGTCTATTTGATATTGGATCAGATGTGACACCAAGGTTGTGTATAAACTGGTTTAATTTGAAACTATGGCCAAGGAAAGGGATAAAGTTGATAGCCAGGAAACAGTTATTGGACCAAAGACCAAAAGGAATAGGCTCAGTCATCTCAATACTTAGTCAGAGGAAATTTCTGATCATCCATTACTGGATGTTGAATAAGCAGTTTAATATTTTAACAACAATAGAGGTTTCAAGAGAGCTGTATGTGCCATTGGATGATGTCACCTGAGGGCATAACGATGAGAAATAGGAGGGGGCTAAGATATCTTCAAGGGATGTGAAAGTAAAAGCGCAAGACAAGAAATGAAAGCATTCCAAGTGATTGGTTACGACTAGATAGATAAGAATGTGACCAGATGAATGCAATCCCACCAGACTCGACAATAATGGAGAGGTTTTGGAGGAGGTTAGTGTGGCCAATCATGTCATCAGCTGCAGACATGTCAAGAAAGAATAGTTTTCCTTTGTCACAGTCGCATAGAATTTCACTTGTGACTCTGATCAGAGCCATTTCATAACTGTGGGTGGAGATGGGGGTGCTGATTAGAGAGATTCCAACATAGGACATTGATTGTTATTCAATAAATTGTAAATGCATTTACTTTATCATGCTTTATTATTTTACAAAATAACTCTGAAGTGGAAGAAAGCGATCCTTGGTTGTGAGGGACCAAGGACAGTAAAGAAGATTATTTTAAATAACTGTTAGAAATGGCCTTTCATTCACCTGCCTAAATTGGAGGTTTAATTTAATTCACGTAACCCTCCCTTTTTAGCTTGTCTTCTGTACTCTTTCACAGTCTCAGATCTTTACTGCTCTTAGTATATTTTTGCTGGTTTTACAGCAGGTCTTTTTAATAAACTCTTTAGGTGTAAGGTCACCATCAGGAGTCCAAACATTTGATCTGAAATTTATAGTAACATCTCATTTCTCCAGAGGGACTGCTCTCTCCATGACTTCCTTGTCCGCTCCACACTCCCCTCCAGCCCCACCACCCCCGGCACTTTTCCCTGTAACTGCAGGAAGTGCTACACCTGCCCCCATACCTCCCCCCTCACCCCCATCCCAGGCCCCAAGAAAACCTTCCACATCAAACAGATGTTCACCTGCACATCTGCTAATGTGGTATACTGTATCCGCTATTCCCGTTGTGGCCTCCTCTACATCGGGGATACCAAGCGGAGGCTTGGAGACCGCTTTGTGGAACACCTACGCTCGGTTCATGACAAATGACTGCACCCTGCAGTCGTGAACCACTTCAACTCCCCCTCCCACTCCTCAGACGACATGTTCATCCTGGGCCTCCTGCAGTGCCACAACGATGCCACCCGAAGGTTGCAGGAACAGCACCTCATATTTCACTTGGGAACCCTGCAGCCCAATGGTATCAACGTGGACTTCACCAGCTTCAAAATCTCCCTGCCCCCGACTGCATCCCAAAACCAGCCCATCTCGTCCCCGCCTCCCTAACCTGTCTGTCCTTTCTCCCACCTATCCGCTCCTCCCACCTCAACCCCAACCCCACCTCCTACCTACCAGCCTCATCCAAGCCTCCTTGACCTGTCTGTCTCCTCTCCACCTATCTGCTCCTTTATCCATCTTCCATCTGCCTCCCCCTCTCTCTCTATTTATTTCAGAATCCCGTTCCTCTCCCCCATTTCTGAAGAAGGGTCCAGACCCGAAACGTTAGCTTTACTGCTCCTCTGATGCTGCTTGGCCGGCTGTGTTCATCCAGCTCTACACTTTGTTATCTCATTTCTTGGTGTTATTTTTTATCTGTTTCAGTCTTGAACTAAGTTGAACTTAATTAGCTTCATTGTCTTGTTATTTTGAATACCATATCTCTCTGATGAGAACAGACATCAAACCAGCTTTCAAGCTTCTGCTATTCAATTTATTCTTAATAGGTTTGCAAAAACG